TCGCGAGCCGCCAACTGGAGATGATTTTCTCTGTTCCAGTTCGAAACGAGGGAAAGCGATGATCAATTTAGACCCAATTAACGTACGTTAGGTCGCCGCGCGTTAGATCACCGCAGGTTGCATTATCTACGCGTTGGATCGCCGCGTGTACTACCTACGCGTTGAATCGCCGTGCGTTGTATTATCTACGCATCGAATCGCTACGTGCTATGTTATCTACGCGTCGAATCGCCACGCGGTGTACTACCTGTGCGTTGAATCGTCGCGCGTTATACTACCTACGCGTCGAATCGTCACGCGTTGTATTACCTATGCGTTTAATCGTCGCTCGTTCTATTACCTACGCGTTAAATCGCCACGCGTTCAATTACCCACGCGTTTCAACTCCATATCTGCTGAATTGCCACGCTTTGAATCACCTATGCGCGTGCTGTATTACCTATGCGTTCAACCACCACCCGTTGAATAACCTACAGGTTTGAATTCCCTATGTGTCGAATTGCAACGCGCTGAATTACCTATGCGTTCAACCACCACCCGTTGAATAACCTACAGGTTTGAATTCCCTATGTGTCGAATTGCAACGCGCTGAATTACCTACGCGTTGAACCGCCACGCGTAGAATTACCTACACATTTAAATTCCCTATGCGAGCTATCTACGCGTTGAATCACCGCTCGTTGTATTACCTATTCTCGTTGAACCACCACGCGTTGAGTTACCTGCGTTGAATCACGTTGTATTATCTACTCATTGAATTGCTAAGTTCTGGATTTCTACATTCTACCTCATCCTGCATTTCTCAAAATATTTTATGCAAACATTTTGAGCATGATCCCTAATGTTGGTGTCACTCGCAATTTTTCCAAAAGAACGCTTCTCCGTACCGTCTGATAGGCTTAATTTCCTGCTGTTTGGAGCGCAGAGAGCTTTTTTAAGAAACGAGTTTTCTAGCAGGAAAAGTATGGTGCAAGCGCATGTATAAGTAATTCGCGCGAGCACCGGATGTTTCTAACGGGAAATTATTGAACGGCTACTATAAATAGCAGAATGAGACGAAACAGAGTCGATAAACTGGCGTTGGTTTTTCGTTCGGAATTTCTCGATCGAGATAGAGGCACCGTTTCACGGTGATTTTTTATTCAACACCAGGATGATACTGCGGAACTGTGGAGAGCTAAAAAACGAGCGGAACGGAGAACAGAAGGGGCGAGGGAGGGTGCAACGTCGCTGGGATCTTCGTGAAAAATGGCGTTCGCGAATGGGAAAAGCTTCGGAGAAGATTTCTACGTTGTCCGCATCTGCGCCCCGCTTTCAGTCGATTTACTGGAAACTATTCGACGGAACACTTGGGGAAAATATCCCTGCATTTTTACTTGTGTTACGTGCACAAATTGTACCTCATTTATCAATTACCGCATCCTACTTTTCTTATATATTTAACACCGTTAAAAAGTACAATTATTAATACAACAACTGCATTATTTAATCAAACGTATCGATTCGAACAATTATTCTACTTCGTGAAACATTTATTGATTTTTTCCACAATTTCCTATTGGATAGAAAACGAATGTTAAAACTGCGAGTGTGCAATATTGGAACGCGAGTTTAAAGACCGAAATGCGAGTTCGCAGTTGAAAAAGCCGGTGTCACGGAAGAAAAGAGACAAAACCAAACGCAAGCGACGATTCCCGCAGGGATCTTTCGCTATTGCACGTCGGCAAACGACGTATTTCTCATTTCCCGTAATCAGAATGCTCTCGTCCGTCCCCAATCGAGCCGCTTCAGTTTATAACCCCGATTCATACCCCGGCGCGAGCGCAGAGTCCGCAAGTTCGAGGGCGTCGTTGAAACAATAGCAACGGCCCGTCGACGACGAAAGTGACGAGAGGGTAGCTCGCGAAGCGAGGAAGCAGAATACAGGGGACAAATACAGAGGAAGAGAGAGTAGCAGAGGACTCCTCCTCTCGAGCGAAGAGGGCTGTCGTATTATTAAGCAAGTAAATTAATAGAGGCTCCGCGTGGAACGGGAAGGAGAACCGACAGAGTTGGAGAGGGTGGATATATTCCACGATAAACAATGCCTACAGAGTTCTGTGCCTCGCACATGCTTCTCCCTTTTATACATTCTTCTTTAGGAAGGAAAGTTACACATATATTTTGTTATCATAGGTTCATTTTTTCTTAGAAATAAATGTCAATAAATCGAAAATGTATTGGTCGATAGGTTGGTGAAAATGTTGTAAAGTTAAGACTGTTCGGAGGAGGATTGTTATTTGAAGAAATATATTGCTGTAAGACAGTCGAATAATATTTATTTTTGTTTATACAACGTAAGAAAGAATGTAAATTATTATGTATTTCTGTATCACTAAAGTATCACAGTCTGGAGTTCAGCATCCGAGTGTTAAAGTAAAATAAGAGAGAAGCAAGCTCGAACGTAGTAAAAATGCGAAGATTCCAGGTTTAAAAATGAAACAACCATTTACTGTCGTCAGTGTTCAGTTTTTGCTAAGTCGGAATAAATAAATAAAATAAGAAGGGTAGAGTGGAAGGTAATAGAAGAGAAGGAAAGGAGGGAGAGAGAAGGTACGCACGCGTGTGAACTGGTGGAGTAGAGCTCGCGTGTTTGTGTGTGGACACGAGGGTTGCTAAGCAAAGTAAGTAAAGCACCTGTGGGAGCTGGGTCGCTTTCGAGGGTGGAAGGAGGTCGGTGGCGTTAGAGGTGGAAGAAGAACGAGTGGGAGAGGAGAGAAGCGGAGAGAAACTCGCGTGTATAACCGGCGAGGAAGAGACAAGGAGAGGTGTAACCGAGGGAGAATCGGCGAGAAAGAGAGAGAGGGAGACTGGAATTCGTCGGAGAGAGACGAAGAGAATAGAGAGAGGCCTGGCGAACAGGCGAGCCAACCCCGGGAGGAAGCCAATCAATAAACTCACTCACTCGCTCTCCTACGGAGAGAGACCTACTGCTCTCCCTACGCTCGCGATGCGACTATATACACACAGGCAACCTGGAAGCCTCCATTACGTACGCCCACTCGGTTGCCTACAGCCATTTTGTAACCGTTCGTCGTGCACCGTTTCCTCTCGAATCTCGGTGTGTCCTCATCCCCCTCGAGAGGAGACCGAGACACCCACCGCTTCCTCGACGATGACGAGAAATCGGCGAGATCAAAGGAATCAGAACGGCACGTCCAGACCGAGAGAGATCGAAACGAGAGATCTAAGCTCGATATTGGATCCTCTTTTGGCGATTTCTATCGTTCCAGACAGACCAGACCTCTGGCGTTCTCTCCTAATTGTTGCCTCGCCTTACTTTCCAACACGCCGCACACGCCACGTGAAACGGAACACGAAAAGTGTAACGTTGAACTCGTTTCGAGAAAACAAAGAAAAAGTCGTGGAAAAAAGGAAGGGTGATCAAGATTTACGAGCAACGAGGAAGAATCGAGAACCCCAAGTGTTTCCAATTACGACTAGCGTCGAAATCTATGTCAATGTCTCATTTTGTCAACGGCACGCGACACATGGTTTTCGAAAATAACCCTCTTTCCCACGAAACTTCCTCGTGCGTCGCAGAAACCCATGGAACATTTTCTTTGCGCTGTCGGTGCTCTTGAATCGAGTTGCTTTGCAGGTCAAGGGAATATCGCGTTAATGAAACTTCCAACTTCTCTCGCTTGTATCGATAAAGTTTCGTCTGGAATAACCAGGATATCCTTCGAATCGTCGCAAAAATGATACTACTTTGAAAAAAAAGCATTCGACAATGTTGTTCCTTCCACAAGAATCGACAACTTTTTCAGTTTTAATTCCCGCTCGATAAATAATCGTTCTACCGTTCTGACAGATTTTGATATATCACCGGCGTGTATCGCGATGCAACAGCGCGTCGAGCATGCTGCGCTACCAAAATAAATTTCCGTCGTAAATTCACCCCCGTCGGTATTTCGTTCGCCATTATTAATGAAAACACGGATCCGTAACGAAAATACACACCGTTAAAAGTAAGTGCGAGGATGCTGGCTAAGGAATCACTTACGGCGATACACACAATGTTTGCGGGAAGATCCGAGTGTCGTTTCTAAATGACGACCTCTTCTCGCCCATCGATATTCCTCCAGCTCGCTTCCCTACAAGATGAACTACAAGGGTCCTAGTGTTGACAGCACCCTCGTAACTCTTATCCACGAGCAGGAAGAACGAGCATCCGGTTTGCTCGTCACCCTTCTTACGGATTAATTGTCGCCCACCTTTGGCTGGGCATGCGTCGAGTTGTAAATACACTTTTAACCCCTCGAGTAGGAAGAATTCTAAGTCTCGACAGTTGTACAATCTTTTATTTCAACTGCGGTACACTATATTTCCTCTACATTCAAACTTATCTATACACGTAAGGAGCGATAATTGGTTACTAGTTTAAAAGTTGATGTAAAAGCTGAAAACTCAGAATTCAGTGTGCAAAGTGTCGATAAAACGGTCGACTTGAATTCATATCCTCTAGCAGACAGAGTCCAAAACGAGCTCAAAATTGAAACCATCGGGAACTCGCAACGGCAATCGTTACGTTCATATAAGCTTCAACGAGACGCTTAAAACTACCGCGGTTCTTCGATTAGATGGAGGGAAAGATATTACGGATTCGCGATAACGATAACCATTCCTGGCTGAGAGATCGTGACTCTTGTTTTAATGGCGGCACCGAGCACCAAAGTGGAGGGAGAACGAAGCGCGGGTGGTGGTTTAATCTAATGGAGCCGAGAGACCATGAAACCTGGTGATAAACTTACCCGTAGGCGGCCAGGGTTGGATCGTAGGGGTAGTAACCCGTGGTGGCAGGTTGAAGGGCAGCCGTGCCCCATGCAGCACCCATATCCGCCGTCATGCCCATCCCCGTCGTGTCCTTCAATCCGTACGGATTTCCCTGCAACGGAATCGTATAATTGATTACATCGGCAACGTTGTTTGCGGATTCCATACTGAGTGCGTTTAATGGCATCGTAAATAGCAAGTCTTGATTTTGGATGTAACAATAAAATGAAATTATAAATTTTCAACAATTTTATCCTAAATGTTACACAACACCGTTCGATATTGAAGAGTACGTTTTTAAAACCGAAAGCGTTTTAAACGAACTTTGATCGAACCAACAGGGCAGACAAGTGTACCGATCCAGTTTTGAAAACGATGATCAACGACTTGCACCGCGAACACGCAAGCATTTAAAAAAAATATAGCTGCAACCGGCGCATAATTTCGTTATCTCTGTGGCTGTCTCGCAACACAGTTGTCTTGTCAAAATTGCCCATCATCGTTTCCAAAGCGAGCCGCCCACTCTTTAGTCTGGCGCAATTTATGCAAATGTTTCGATCGAATTAAAATCGATCCATCATCTTAAGCGGCGATTTCGCGCGAGCCAGAACGGCAACGAGGTCACACCAGCAGCGAGCGGATCGGTCAATCCATCGTCGAGTGACTGACGATCCGTTAATCGAGCTCCACCCACGAGCGCGCGTCAAAATGCGAACTCGTTCGAGCGCGACGAAGCTGCAGTCGCAAAGTTATCGCCACGAAATCGCGAATTTCTCCAGAGGAGGAAGGGTGGAGCAAAAACTTGCGAGTTTAACGAGGCAAAGCAGACGGTGCAATGCCGTCTCGACCGGATACGCCTGCACGCCGACGCGAACGAGTCGATGGTGTTGTTTCGAGGTGTCGTTGCGAAGCGCATGGAGAAGCACGAACGGACGCGAAGAGAAAGAGGAATAGGTAAGAAAAAGGACGACCACGAGCGAGCTGCCTAATGGTAGCACAATGGGATATTATTAGAACCGAAGGCTTAGAGGTGTTTGGCGCCAGGAAGTTTCGCGTTACAAAAAGATCAACGTCGACTCTTTAATTCCCCGAGGACCCATCCCCTCGTTTCGATTTCCAAATCCGCTGTCTCTGGTACCCTCGTGGCCCACTGTTTTCTCCTTTCTGCCTCTCCTTTTTTCTTTCTCCCCTTTTTTAGCGGAGGGAGAGACCGCGCATATTTATCCCTCTTCCTCGGCGCGTCTCTCCCTTAGCGTACCCTTTACAGGCGGCTTTAATGGCGACACGCGGGTGGTCCAGCGCCTTCCGACATAACCTGACTTTCATTTTTACATCCCGCAGATTTTCAAATTTTACAACTTCGTATCTTATCAAATATTCCCTGAAGCGAAATTTAAATCAAATATATTCGACCATACGTTATTCTCTTACTTTGTAGTCGATTATATATTAATGTATTAGCTGTACATACCACGTCTGTTTAATTTATTATTAAATTCTGTATCAGTTTGAGATACGGCGAGCGTACATTGTTTCAAAAGCACACGCATATGTGCACGATCCTCGCGTGTTAAAATTACAGATTCGAATTTGCGAAAATTACAGATCGATCTCTTTGCAGGCAGTCAGTCCACGGTCACGACACGCGTCTCATCCTTCTAAATGAGAAACGATGTCGCGACTGATTATCAGCGAGCACGTGCACGCGCGACTACGTGTATCGGTCGGATCGAGCACGACTTCCTACCCAACACGCAAGTCGAAATATACATACGTGACGAGTCGCGAAATTGTTAAACCACACGGTGATTTCGTATCAATTCGATTAACGATAGATTCGCGGTCGAATAAACGCTTCGTTTCATTCCGTTTCATCGCTAAACGATTTACTATCGCGACGATTATCCTGCACGAATGACACTGCGACGAAGTTAACGCTTCTGATTGAAAAAGTAGCTCCGTAATTTTCCAATCAATTCTCTTACTGAGATCTATTTGATAAATACGCGAATAATTGTCGGATTAATTGTACGTCACAGAACGTACTCGATATTGTTCTAATTTTAGAAGAAAGTTGTTCAAAGTATATGAAAATTCTTTCTGATCTTTGAAAAAATAAAATCACTTGCGATATAACCGAATACCGATCTCGCTAGTACATCGATAATTTTCCAATCAATTCTCTTACTGAGATCTGTTTGATAAATCGGATTAATTGTATGTCACAGAACATATTCGATATTGTTCTAATTTTAGAAGAAAGTTGTTCAAAGTATATGAAAATTCTTTCTGATCTTTGAAAAAATAAAATCACTTGCGATATAACCGAATACCGATCTCGCTAGTACATCGATAAATATAGAAGCATCAAGAAGAGAGAAAAGATACAAAACGTGACATTTAGCTGGTATTGTAAAGGTGTTGTAACAGGAAATGCTGTGGTAGCTTGATATAATATAAACTGATAAAAATATCCCACTAATACCAGTCCCATTCAGCGAAAAGTCCATGCAAGCTCGTGTCTAGCCAATTAGGAAGCAGAAGCACGTGCAAAAGTTTCCCAAACGAGTCACAATACGGCAAACTACCCCGTCTAAACGGGGTTGGCCAGAGTTCGACTCGGAAACAGTGACAAAAGACAACCGGAGGAAAAGTTGGCCGAATATAAAGAGGGGACACGGCAAGCCCGTCACGCGAGGCCTTCAAAGTTAAAGTTCGAAGCTCTGCCGGCAGTTGCTCTGTGATAATTTAATTAACGTCGACAAAGGACGAGGGGAATGAGTATCGACTCGTGGTCGATGACGAAGCCGTAGAGAGCTTCCGCGTGGGACAGCAGCTTTCAGAAGCTTCGACGTGATCCATTCTTGGCCATGAAACACGCGTTCCATTTCGCGAGATGAGACTCGACGAGAGAGGAATCACCTTCGAACTCGAGGTGGTAAGCCACGCTCGAGTTTTTATTTATTTCTGCCGAGGACCACCGTGATCGTCTTAAAGAGTCTGCCTTTTTTATTAGTTCCTTTATCGATGCCAGCTCTCGCGCCACCCACTTCATTCAATGCTAATACGAGTCTTATTATATTATAATGCTCGTCGAAACGACGTGCTCCAATCGGTAGCACGTGCTTAAATTTACAATTCGTTATTACACTTTAGCTCACGGAATTAGCTTCAGAACTCTGGACTCTGTACGACACTCGTAGACCGTGTTCCAAAAAAAATATTTTCAGTTGGAAATTCGGTCATTAACATTAGAACAGTTGATCGAAATACACCTACTTTTATTTTATTATATTAATATGTATACGCGTATATGTGTCTTCATCGATAAGATTATATTGTATTCGATACACGTTACTAATGACTTCACCCTTTCCGATTAGATTAGTTAACACCTCGGGTAACGCGAGCAACTATTTTCACACGATAACGAAACTTTATTACCTTGATTGGCAGACTTGCTTTTCACGATCATTAATAGCCTTTCAACCGTACGAGCATAAAAGGTTCAGATCTAATTCATAGACACAAAGTTTCATTTATTACCTCTCGCGATAAGCACAATTCCGCGACTCGGTTCTAATTCAGAGACTCGTAAATTTGCTTTTTATATTCGAGGAGAAAAATAATTCGATCGTTTAAATTCAATTCATGGACTCGAGGACTTTATTACTCTGACGATAAAGATTTGCGAGTTGGACTTAAATATGACCTGTTTATTGTAACATTCTGAGTAAATGGTTGGTGGAAGTTGGCGATTGATTTCCTCTCGGTTCGAACGTCGATATCGTAAGTAGCCTCCGAGGAAGGAGGGTCAAAGGTTCGTCAAAATTCTCAAAATTCCCGGTGGCCGGTCATTTATGACATTCCAGGGTTCGTTGTCGCGGAGGCTGAGCGATCGTCGCGTGCACGAAATTGCAGGACGAAGCTGAAATTCCATGAACGACCGAGCGAAGCGGTCAGGTCGCAGGCCGACTGCAATTTATCGCGATAAAGGTGCAAAACTATGACGTTCGACGCACCGTCTCGCGACAAATGGCATTCTTCGAGCGTCAATCGGTCAAGCTCGACTAATAACGCCAACTACCATCTTGATAGTGGATTCTGCTTCTACGGTCACGAGAATATTTACTCGATATGGTGAACACGATTGTATCGCGGTAACCGATGCTTCGAGTATCTAAATAAATGATCTTCTACTTAAAGAATAATCGTAAGCTATTAAAACGATTATTTGCAAATTGCATGGACTATTTTGCGACCCTAATTAGCGTTCATTCCACTCGTATCGTGTAACCAACATGAATTGACCAGATTTTGCAGCGTTCCAAATAGGATCATTTCGAAAGTCTAATCTTTATTCCCGTTGTCGGACACTTTTCTATCTAATCATGTTCCCGGTTGGCCATACATGTAACCAGGTTAATTTTCATAATCAAATCATTTGGCCGTTTACGACACGCTTTATATGCAGAATGTTAAGCGACGCGGGCAGCGAGCATTACACCAAGTCGGAAAGCATGACGATCAGCTGGAAAATAAAGATCACCTCGAGTTGCTCTGAACCGAAGCGTGTAGGCACATTGTATCGCATGCAAGCCGCGCGTAACTGCCAATTATAAGAGCGTAAACGTCCGCGATTAAGAGTGCTACGTGTGTTACGCTTATCAATGAGCCGTAAAGTAACGCATTTCACGATATCGCGGATCGGAATGCTGGTACAGTGGCACAGAGAGGCATGCAAACCAATCATTATCCCTAAACCGTTAATACCTTCATTGTACGGGCGAAAAACGATAATTAACCTCTCATTTATTAACTGCAGTTGACATTGATCACGGATTTTTAATATTCGCCTCGTTTATATTATGGACTTTCGTAATTCGACAAAATGACATAGGACATAGAAATAAGAGAATTTAGGATTTAACACTAAACCTACCGACATATGTATACTCTGAAATTAAAAATGAAGTTGAAGAATAAATATACAAAGGACGAAACATAAATTGGCACACATTTATTCTTTATCTTGATGAAAATCAATGCTGATTTCAAGGAATGTACTTTAAAAAAATGTGTACCTTACAATAAGAGCGGTAATGTGTACCTTGTGGAGCGGTCATTTGGTTTGGTAGTTTTAGAGTTAAAAATATAAGAATATAGAGATCTGGAAGCAATAAAGATCAAAGTGTAACAAAGATCTAAGAACATAAGGATTAATTGGAACATACAAAAAAATTAGAAAGTACATGAAAATTTTGAAGACTCGAAAGTGAGAAAATTGAAAAGTTTGCGAATAAGGTCGTGAGTTAGAAAGAGCGATGGAGACAGTACTAGCGAAGGTTAGGTCGTAGCGGTTCGCAGACAGCTTCTCCCTGCTTCCTTTCAGTCGACCACTTCCTCTTACCTCTTAACCCGTTTTCCACGAACGAGTTGCAGACCGCACGCACGAATCGCGGAGAACACGATTTTTCATAGTCGCGTCGAAGCCTGCGGTCGATAACGTTCCGCCACGTCTAATCGCCGTGCCGGGTCGAGGTTGGCCAGTTTATGAATGGCATTATCGGTGAACGTTGACATAATACGCGCACCGGGTGTCACAAAATATTCCGACGGCAATTAACATTAGCAGCGAAGTAGTTATTCCGCGGGGCTGACTGAGAAATCGCGGAGAAATTTACGCCTGGTATTAAAATCTGCATTCCTTCTATCTCTGTGCCCCTCGGTGGCGATAAAACGCCAATCTAAATTAATTTGCCCGGCCGATACACGGGGCTAATGTCCACGCGGGGACATTTATAATACCCTAGGTGCCACGGAATCGCGAGACCCGTTAAAGTCAACGATTACGCGTTTATGGAACGGGGTGGAAAAGAGAATCGAGTTCAATTGACTGGAACGAGCCGGGCAATCTTTCGGTTATTGGATAACCGAATGATACGCGGTGATTACCCTAATGGTCGCTGCGAATTCGAACAAACAGAGAGTGGAAGATTTTAACGTGTCGCTAAAATTACTCCGACGATTCGAGACGGTTTCGATCGGGAAAAGAATCGTTGTCTATTTTCCGCGAGACGATAAGGAACAGCGATCGTATCTATTGTTATCTAACTACGTCTCATCGTGCCGGCAAGATCAAACGGATCATTTGCAGTAGTGTACAGATAAACTCGAGAAAAAAATAAGTTCGTGTATCGCCTCGGAGACGATAACAGCCTACTTGAAGAATCAATGTCGCGCAATCGACACTCTGGTCGGGAAATTTGAATGTCGCAAATAGTGATTCACCTGCAGGGGGATTAAATCGTTCGTTATCTACGATTGCACCCAGTTCGTCCATTTGTCGAACTTGAAACGGCTGTACACCATTGACCAATGAAGAGTGACGCGTCGTTATCGGAAGACATGCGCTGATTGGTTCATCGCGATTTACTCGCGAGTTGGGGTAGAAATTCGTAATAAATGATGGAAAATCATCGATATCTCGATTTATTACGTTTCAATATTTATAGGCCGTATAGGTTGTTAGTTTAATAAGACTCTGTTCACAGAGTCTTCGTTACAGTTGTTACGCAACCCACTGTAATTTCGAATTCAAAGATCCTGTCCCGTCGCTGATAATATAATGGAAAGTCCACCTACTGCGTATTAATTATATGAAGTAGCAAATGGATCATTTGAATTGGTAAATGCTCATACTCGGTCTAATTATGTCATGTAACACGGTTTCATCGTTCGATCATCGGAAGAAAAAATTAATTAAGCACTAATATATCGTGTATCTTTGCACTCAAGCCATCATACAGTATATTTTTTTCTCACTTTACTTCCGCCAGATTATCGCGATTGATTTTCAATGAACTGTATTCTGTAAGCAAAAACGCGTACAGAAACTGGTATTCAAGTTCCCCTGCTCGATTTTACATTTCCGTCTAAGCAAGATTCAAATGGAAAGATAGTCGCACTGTTAGGTTAATCTTATTTCCAGTTTTGTATCAATTTGTACTTTCTACCGCGTTCGCCACACCGATCGATACAAAGAGGTAAAATAAAGTTGCGCCGATCGACAAATTGGATTTAAGTTCGGAATACAGGAAAGGGTTAAATCGCGTCAAATACAGCGCGGATAACAAACTGGTTCTTCGGTTGCAAATATTGTCTGGCATAATCGTCAAGTGGTCGAACTTCGATCTGAACGGGGAACACGCTGCAACAAAGTAGAATATCCAGTTCGTTTGGCCGATCGAGGACTTACTACAACTTGTCCGCCGTTATTCAATATCACTCTTGGACCGTCGTTGAAGTACGTACAAGATAAATGACTATATGCTTCGTGCAAAACGGGCTAATTATTATCATTACCCCAATTAAATCAAACTCAACGTTTGAACAAATCATGCTGAACGTGCCGCAAGTATGTCTCGATTGATCGAGAGTATAATTATTGCGTGTGAAAGTTTGCATAAAGATGTCAGTACGGAAACGATGATTCAAACTGCTCGCTCTTCAATAGTTAGACACATAATTTCTCACTGGAAGGTTCTAAAAAGTATTCCGTAACGGTGTTACAGAGTACTGTAGTATGTAAGCTAGAACTACAGGTAGTTTTACAAAAACCAAGCTCAACGAACAAAACGGTCTACTTCATTTTAACGAAGGTTCCTGTTGCAAAACGGGGTGCTTCTTGTTAATCGTTCCCCCGACTAAACCCAATGCGCCGACCGTCCGCGACGAGTTACGAGCTGACAAAAATGAAAAGTTGCTAAGAAGTAACTGGAGAATTTAATTATCAGCTCTCTTTTCTTCCACGTTCCTTTCCGTTCGTCGAAGCAACTTGTATCAGGCGACTCGCAACATCTGGCGAAACGAGTGTTTTCCGAGCAATCTTTTTATCGTTGTCTACCTCCCTGCTAGCTAGTATCCACACGCTCGAGTGCAGATATAAATTGGCCGAAACGGAGATACGATCGGCCGTTTATTTCTACGTTAATTACGTTTATCACCGCTATCGTCGATGTGTTCGCGATTGTAAAACGTTTCGAGTCCATGTACGTCATTGCTCTTACGCGATCGTTTGGAAAAATTTCGTTCGATCACCACACACTTCATCCGGCCGCACAACGCTGTCGGATGATTTCGATAAAATCTCGGGATTTCAGAAAAACAAATTTCTTCACGAAAGTTCAGAACTTTTACATTTTGAATTTTACGACTTTCGGACTCGCGATTTTAAGGGCTGGAATTTTACGATTTTAGGAAGTTTAAAATTATATCCTGAGAGTCTGAAATTTTAGGATCGTGGTCCTCTAGATTTTAGGACCTGGACTCGATACTTCGATATGTTAGGTATTTCAAATCTTTCGAATCTTAAGATTCCATAAGTTTAAGTGCCTTGGGAACTCGGAATTTTGAGAACTTTTTTAAGACTTTAAGACTTTAGGATCAATTGGTAGATGAGTCAGTATGACTCACGTCAGATTACATCGAGCGAAAAAGACACACGTATCTTCGCGGCTTCGAAATATAATTCGATACTCGAAACTGTGTTTCCACCGTCTCGATCACCCACGCCGTCATTGTCGTTAGCGCGAAGCAAAGCGAGCAGCGCATCTAGTCGACAACGGGCGCCTGTTTGGTCCGCTTCTCTGTCCAGGACTTATTATTAGCCGCGTTTTTTCCTCGCGTGCACCGGGCACGACGGAATAAACCGGTGTCTTTGCAGGAGAAACGCGTGTTTCACAAGATTCTCTGCCTCCCTGGCGAAGAAGCGAGTAGCGAATTTTCCCCTGAAATATAACCGCGAATCCATCACGGAGTCCTCGTTAGAGGTAGCGTCTCGACGCGTCTTCCGCGAACCGAAACTTAAACGAGATTATCGCTCCGCTCTCGACAGCCGTGCGTGAATAATTCGACGCAGCCGGCGACGGAGACGGAGCTCTAAAGAGAAACGCGGGAGACGTATGGATTCACGAGGCTAAGGAGTTCGAGCAACGGCCGATTTGAGACGTCCCTGGCTTCCGTCAGCGGAATTCCGAGCTAATTCGTGGCAAGACCGCTCGCTAATCCGTCTCGAGTTTAGCCGGCAGGAGTAATAATCGTCGGGCACGCCTAGCTCGACGGGCCGATCAATCTGACGTCGCGATGGCCGTCGTTGTGCTCGAACGAATTGCAAAACCGCCTCTAATACCTGTCGACGTGGAAGTACGCCGCTCCGTGCACGTCCTTCTCCGTCGTGGTCGAGCTAATAAACCGTTTAATGATTGCGTTTATAAATACGCGCAGCCGGCTCGTAACTCTTCCGATTAGTTGGTGGGATGTGTAATTTGGCTGATTTATCGGGCCTACTCGAAACCGAGCGTTCTCGCAAAAGCTGGACTTGAAATTTGTCCGGCGATCGTTGCCAAGCCGCTACACCCCGAATCTCTATCGGTAGCGCGTAATCTACCGGTGTGTAACAATGCCATCGACGATTCGTGCCGCGTACGTTGCACGCGCGCGATGGTGTTTCCATGCGCCGCGCCGATGAATTATTCATCCGGCGTTACGCAAAACCCGCCGCTAATTATCGTCCAACAATTAAGCGACCTTCTGTACAAAGCGAAAAGAAAAACTAGGCCAAACAAGGAGAAAAAGACGGAGACTCACCAGAGGAGGGTAGAACGCGGAGCTGTCCATGCCGATGCTGGGGTAGGGCCCTTGGTCGGTGGTGGAGGGCGTCGGCGTGGGGTAAGAAGAGTAGGAGGTCGCCGTGGGTGCTAGCCTCGGATACGCACCCAAGGCGAGCCTCGCTGCACTGTCGTACTGACAGCTGCACACCGTTTGCCCCGTTACGGGGTCCGTCATCATGGGCCTGCCGTTCTCGCAGCAACCGGGCCCCGTGGCACCACCTACCGGGGTGCTCGCACCTCCGGACGCGGCCGCCGCCGC